GCTGCTGCCTGCGGGGCCCCTTTACTCGCGCGGCTCGCGCCCCCCGGAAGCAGCTGGAATCCGCGCCAGCCAATCAGCGAGCCGCGCCGCGGGCTCCGGAGCGTGCGCTGCGCTTGCGCCCACCTGCCGCCAGGGGGCGGTGTCCGTCCCTGCCGGGTCCCCGCGGAGCCTCAGGTGAGACCCGAGTGTCCGGGACCCGCGAGTGGGAAGCTCTGTCGCAGACAGCGCCCCTTGGACCGCAGCACGAAAGCCCGAGGGAGTGAAAACAGTACACCATGGGCTTTGGACCCCTGGCTAGCCTGCCACCAGCTCCCTGGATGGGCCTTAGCAAGTTGCTTTAAGTTTCTGGGCGTCGATTTCCTCCTTTCACTGGAGAAAAGCAAGTGAGTGGCTAGGAAAGGACACCTGTCTGTCAGGTGCTGTGAGGACGGAATGAATAACCCAGTTAACTGACAGTGGGGTGTGGCTGGCAGTGAAGACTGCTGTTCATCTGCCAGGTAGGCTGGCTCTGAACCCCGGATAGCCACTTGCTGTGGGATCTCAAGCAAGTTACAGAAACTTTCTTTGCTCCACTCTCCCCATCTTACCAATGAGGATGCTGCACCCTCCTTGTGGGTTTTGGGGGGGGGTTGTTTTGGTTTTGGGTTTAAGATTACTGAGCTAATACATGTAAAGGCACTTAGAACCATAACTGACATGTGGCGAATGTTAGGTAAACCATAGTTTCTCTTACGTCTCTTGGGACTCTTAAAAATTACCATGCCTAGTGGCTCCGTTGCACTCCTAGTCTGAGATATATATCATCTCAGAATAACATGAGAACTCTTGGAGTAGTAAATGGAGGCAAGCGTGTAGGCTCCGGAGTCAGATGACTTGGGATCAAATCTCAAATCTGCTGCTTACTGATTAACCAAGTGTGACTTCGAGCAAGTTACGTAACCCCTCTGTGCTTCAGTTTCTGTAAAATGGGAATGACACCATGACTGCCTACACAATAAGGTTATTAAGGGGAGACGATGAAAAAAAAAAACCATCTGGTGAGAGCTCCCTCCTGCAGGCTGGTTTCATGGGTGTGCAGCCTGTGTAGTCACACAGGGCCCCAAGCTGGGTCTAATGCTCTGCTGACACTGTCTTAAAATTTTTAATAATTGTGAGTACAGGGCCCCACATTTTCATTTTGCCCTCAGCCTCACAAATCATGTAGCAGGTATTGCTTTCCTACTAAACATGTGATGATCTGGAGGTGGGGCCATTAGGAGATAATTAAGTCGTGAGGGCAGAGCCCCCACAGATGGAATTAGTGCCCTTACAAGAACAGGCCAGAGAGCTAGCTTGCTCTCTTTCAAACTTGTGAGTATGCGGTGAGAAGCAGGCAGTCTGCAACCCGGAAGAGGGTTCTCACCAATCCAACCATGCTGGCATCCTGATCTCAGACTTCTGGCCTCCAGAACTGTGAAAAGCAACATCTCTGTAATGTATAAGCCACCCAGTTGATGGTACCTTGTCACAGCAGCCCAAACTGACTGAAACACTAGTACTGTGAATGGCATGCAGGAGGTACTCAGTTAAAGCCTAAGAAATCACTTGTAGAGGTTAAAAAATAGGGGGGGGGAGATAACAGAGTAAACAATCAATAGATGTCAATTGTTACTGTTATAAATGGTATCAATAGTTTAGTATCAATAGAAAGAGCACAAAATGAATGAAAGTGGTCTTAACAGTTACTTCCTTCCCCTTGCTCTCAGTTTCTTCATCTGTAAAAGAAGGGGCGAGAACCAACCAATCTCCGACAGGATGAGACCTCCCAGGTCTCACAGGAGTCTCAGGATCAGGGACATGCCTGTTTTTCATTCTAGAGCAGGGCAGCTGGAGAGTGGCAGATAATGTCAGAAGAGGGCAGGTGGGCATTTGCCATAGGAGGTGCAATCTGCAAACGGCTCTTCGGATGATCTGGTTCCCATCCCAGCAGAAGAGCCAAGTTCCTGCCAAGCTGCCCAGACACCTCAGCTCTGAGTTAAAGTGCTGGAATAACAGTTTCAGAAACCAAACGCTGAGGTCTGGTTGACTCATAGGGGAATGACTTGGTGCAAAGCCAGGAGTCCCTGCCCCAGCGAGGCCACTGAGACGGTGCATGACAGACAGCAGGAAACCACTCATTTCACCCAGGTTTCCAGATTTATTGGAGTGGGTTAAGCAAAATAATATCAGAATCGTTTCAAATGTGTGTGTATCTTGTATCTTAGAGAATTATTTCCCAATTCTCTTATTTTGTTGATTTGTGATTTCTCTCTTTTTTCTTCATTAGGTTAGACTGTGATTTATCTGTTATGAGACTGTGTGTATGTGTGTGTGTGTGTATTTACTTGAGAATCAGACTTTATTGAAAATTTAGAACTTTAAGATCATCTAGTCATTGAGTATTTCTGCTGTTTAAATTAGTTAACAGATGTGAGAGGTCTCTGCAAACTAGAAAAGAAGTTCAGGGTATAGAGTGACCACCTGTGTCACTGGTTGTCCAAAAGTAGTTCATGATGTCCTCTCAGAAGTGATGATGCTTGGATGATAACTCCTATGGGTCACCCTGATCACCTGACAATTTATTACTCTAGCAGTGATCTAAGTGAGCTTCCTCGTCTCCTAGGAAGATGAGGGAGATGTCATGGGGTGGCAGAAACAGAGTATGACTAGGACTCAGGACATCTGGATTCTGGTCTATCGCTGACCCACTGGGGGACTTCAGGGATGACGTATCATTTCTTGGAGCCTCAACCCCTCGTCAGGGTTGTTCAGTGTTTCCCAAAGTTTGCTCTACAAGTCGCCCTTCTCAAACTTTAATGCATATACTAGTCCCCTGGGGATCTTGTTAAAATGCAGGTTCCAATTCAGCAGGTTGGGGTGAGACTGAGATTCTGCATTTCTAACAAGCTGCCAGGTAATGCCCATGCTGACCTCAATCTAGTGACAAAGGTCTAAAAAGACCTGTTCCACAGACTACAAATCAATATGACATTAAAAATAAAAAGTGGGGAGGAGGTTCTAGTGAAATACATTCAGAAATGCATCTGCTTCCTACATTTAAAAGGGATTGTTGACTGCAGGGCTCCCCAAAGTCTCTAACATACACCGGAGAGAATGGCTTGAACAGCCCAGAAAGGATGCTCAGAAAGACAGAGGTCTTTATTTTTTAAACCGATGCAAGCGAGGCAAGAGAGCACCTGGCTTTCCCACGCTCACGCTCACTCTCTCTCCCAGATGAACACATGAAGTCTTTGATTGCTTCCCGGACTTAAACCACGTTGCATAGAAAAAGCTTTCAGCCACAGCTCCCTCCATACTCACTGGTTCACATTTTGGACCATGTGACGTGAGCCATGGCTACCTGGACCAGGGACACTGGAGTATCTGACCCAGGCCACCGGTCCACAGACTGGCCAACAGCCTGTAACATGGCTAGATGTAAAATGATGAAGTGGACCCACCAGATTACCCGACTTGAACTGGCTGGTTGATGTGGCCAGATTTGAAAAGAAGCCGCAAGGTGGAATCAGATCCATGATGCGGCAAAATCATTGGTGAGCTAAAGTTAGGCAGAAGACACACTCTGAGCAGGCAGTAAAAGCCTGGGGTAGAAATGAGACTGGATCAGCATCACAGAGAGAGGCAGGGATACCCCCAAGAACTCTTAGAAATGGAAGTGAAGGCCCTGAGGTGTGGGGAGTGTTGGCAAAGAGCAAATTGTATCATCTTTAGTTAGTTTTTCGTGGAAGTAATGGGCTACAGATTAGGGGACTGATGGAAATACAGTATAGTTGTGTTTCAGCAAGACATTTGTGGACCAGAGGGGAAAAAAGTGAACGTTGCCCCCTACTCTAGAGCCCAAAGCAAATCTGCAACCGAGTCATGGCAATAGTAGGACTTTATTGCCATCATATATCTTCAGTCTGTCCACCCTAACCCTATACCCGCCCTGGTCTTGACTCCATATTTAATTTGTTTTCCTTACCCTGATTTGTCATTATAGTTTACCATTTTATTTTATGCATCTCTTGTATGCCTCCTTGCCCCAGTTGTGAAAATAGACATGGTATGCATAAACAAATAGTTCAGATGAGAACTAACATAAGTGGACACATGTCTGAATGACCATATCCCCAATTACAGAGATAGGTCTCCAGCTGCGTGTCACCGGCTCGACCCGAAATTACATCTGATTGAAAAATCATGATTTAGATAACAACATTGATGACATAACGTTTACATTTTCAAACAAAGATGCCAAAAAAAAAATGGCTAGTACATTAGAAAAACAGCATTCACATCCAGAAATTTTGGCCAGTCTGAGCTTCACCTGGTGTGCTTTCAAATGCCCGCCCTGAATCAGCATCTCTGGGTAAAACTGCAGTGTTAGGGTTTCCAGCTATTACCAAAAGTCATTATAGTAACAAGCCATGTGATTTCTTTTTGGAAAAATTCTGATTTGACCCAAAACTGTTGTCAAGACAGTGTCCATTCTAGCTGTCTACCATGTACCATAGGAGAAATTTCTTTCCAAGTTTAGGACCAAGAAAAACTGAGTCTTCCCTGAAAAATAAAATCACAGTGTAGCCTTTTCTCTCATCGAGAGAGATGAGTATCAAGTTTCCTTTTTCATCCTGATCAACAGAACACTTCAAATCTAGCATAAGGCTCCCTTGGAGCACCTGCTGTGAACATTTGATTTTTAATTTTCTCTCCAATCTGTTTTCCTATTTGAGCTTATATATTATTTGTTTTATTATCTGAGTTTTTGTCTTTTGGTAAGCCACAACAACTCCTTTTTGGAATGACTTGAGATATAAATAAATTATATTTGAGTAATGAGTGGGAGATGGTTTGATGAATTGGACAAGGTCAAGGAGAAAGGGAAAAATAA